TACCGTCTCCAGCAAAGAAAAGTAGGCTGCATCACTTGCACAATGTATTATTGCGCCAGCGGGGCTCCTAGCCCCCCGGTGGCTTAAGGCCACACTTGGATGTGGATATCTGTCGCCTGCCACTCACACACACACACACACGAACGCACGCATGTACTCATTCGCACACACGTGCACAAAATTGAGAATAAACGCGATGTTAAAATTATATTGGCGAAATTATTGTATAGGAATCGTTAAATCGCACGACGTAATATTATGCGCATGATGGGAAATGATAATTTGAGTTCGCCAATGGTCAAGTGTAAAATTATTATACTTTGTTCCAGGAACCAATTGCAAGCTCTGCCCAACGGAGAACCTAGCGCAATGTCCGTTCTAATCGAAGAGAAGCCAGTCGCTGAAACTACAACGTAGATCATATTTCTTCCATTGACTGTGAACTGGTTGTGATTCTGTTAAAGATGAAAATATATATCTTGTAATTTACCCGAATTTATATACAAGGATTACACGATAGATATATTGTGTAAGCGACGGATACTGCGCATGTCTGATATCATATATGCGGGATTCCATGCCAAAACAATAAGGTTTCTGCAAGTTGCTCACATACATTCGCTGCAGCGGTAAGTATATAAAACCCCAACACGTTAACATATAGCCAAGCTCAGTATTAAGACAGGAGCCCTCTAACCTATGCTACAATATGGGGACCCAAGGCGGCGCATAATTCTCTATGACTATAAGCACTACTGTTGCAACGTTTTCGAAGAACGGCGTTTATATCCAACGACACGATGGTTTGACAGCAGTAACTCGGCTCTTCCATTCGCAGCGTATGTCTGAACTCGTTGAATACTCAGTATATTTTCGATTATTCAACGGCGCAATACGACAATATTCCTTTATTTCTCAGAATTTCCACAGGTGCGCCCCCATGATTGTATATTCGTAGAGACAAAACTGCACAATATGCAGGCTCCGTACGGGAGCATTAATTGCGGGAATTTGTACGCGCATCCTTATTGCAGTGAAAAGTATCGCGAAGCCAGCGACTTAGCTGCCATCGAAACATAAACAAAAACTAAATATAAACAAAAAAACAAACTATTTTATCCACTCTTGGTATCCACGTTAACGTTCTCTTGATTCCATATATATATATACAAGCACGCACACATTTATCATTTACAATCCTGCTGCTAATGAAAGCTCATCAGAGAAAGAGAGAGAGAGAGAGAGCGAGAGAGAGAGAGAGAGAGAAAGCCTATTACAGAGCTCTAACCTATTACAACCTTGATGCACGGCTCGTCCGTCTGACGTCACACCGTGTGACGTGTGACATGTCGACTGATAAAGCCTATACCGCGTATATATGCCACGCGCGAATACATCTAGAACACTACATCGTCTATCACAGACTGTCTGAGCGGAATGCGTTTCCATTTAAATGGTACAAAAATATATATGATACGTACATGGTACCTACTCCCTCCGCGTAACTCATTCTCATATTACTTCCCATTGTCAACGATCATTCGTAGCCGGTGCATGAGGGCGAAGGTAAAGCATCACCAGGAGCAGCAACGAGATTATAACGTGAAATTATATATATATATATATATATATATATTGTTATATATATATATATATATACTATATACTATATATTCCTATATATATAGTCACTATCACAAGTTTTGATAGTCCGGCAACCGCCAATATCCATAATTATTATAAGCATATAAGAGCTAGTTTGGATGACTGGTTCGGACGTCGATTGAAAGATTATCGTCTAGAGTGAGCGATTGTCGTGGGTCATACATACATCAAGGTTCTGCCGGCGTATCTCAGGCGACAGAATGGCGATGCAAGATCGTGACGTGTATCCCGGCTTCCCCCACCGTGCCTCCTCCTACCCTCTCCTCCCCTACCACACCGTCCCCCGCCCGCCCCTCCTCCTACCCTCTCCTCCCCTACCACACCGTCCCCCGCCCCGCCCCTCCTCCTGCCCTCTCCTCCCCTACCACACGGTCCCCCGCCCCGCCCCTCCTCCTACCTTCTCCTCCCCTACTTACTATACTCCCTTCCCTCCCGTTCCCTGCCATTCCCCATCCCCGCCCCTCCCTTACTACATTACCCTCTGCCCGATCTCCGCCGTCTCGGGTTAGGGAATTTTTCCCGGTAACCGGCGCTGACTGCGCGCTTTCACTTTCCACTCTACGCGCGTTCACAGAATAGTGTGCATCCGTGCTGTCAGCTGGGATTAAGGAGTTAGCTGGCAGCAATTTCCATGCTTGTTTACAAGCCTGCGTCTTGTAGTAGCTAAATATAGATGTCGGTTTCGAAAGTGACCTTGAAATTACTGATGTTTATCCGTCACACCTCTAGCATGGCGGCATCAGAGCTCAGCATGCCACGGACTGTTCCTGAAACACATAAAATAACGATGAACGGAACTGGTAGTATATATACTATCGGGAGTCCATAAACCTTATATAACACAAAATATATCCATCGCTGTCATAAAATCCGCTACTTTTACGGCCGACAAAAATATATCAGACGTCATCTAAACTTAGATACGGTATCGTATACTATAAATATCGCGCGGCCATATACTACAGGATACACCAAGGACACATGAACACAGGGGTTGTGCTCATTGCGCTATAAAACGTTACCAACATGACAAACATAGATACTCTTTTATATCTTTGGTTATACCTAACATCCGTTTTATCTCCACTCTCGACTCATACATAACACCAAGAGTAGATAAATAACATAATATAATAGTTATTTATCTACTCTTGATAACACTAGTTGACGTATACTCCGGTAGAAAAATACACAAATAAGCGAAAGGATTACGATCAGATCGACAAGTCAATCATCGGGAGGGTGCATGTAGGAGGGATCAGATGTAGGGACGCAGTAGGTAGGATGCAGGTGGTGTGACAGCGTGACAAAGGTGTGGTCCTTGGCGTAACCGCGTTACGCCATCGGTATATATACCATTAGTTCAATGCCTGGAGCTATCTTGCTGTAATCATTAGCGAGATGATTTGGCGCTGCTTCGACCTTGACGCCGTGACTGCGCAGATATGGCAGCGGAACTACGACGAGTCCGCCGACGGCAAGACACAAGCCTCCTCCGTAGTATGCAAGGGCAGTAGAGCCGAATGCGTCTGCGATGTAACCTTAGAGAGCAAAACGTCGCAGAAGACGCTGTAAGCCCCGTATGCATTGCTTGCGCTTACTAGTATAAAAGTATTCCAGCAAACTCGCGTCAAGTTTATTCTCGGTTGATTTATGTAAAATTAACGCGCTGATCTATAAGTTGCTCGTCGCTGCAACCAGCAACCGCAAGCGATCGGTCGACGTGTCACCGCGTGTGCGCACACGTGCGATTTCGAAGCAATTCTAGAACAATTTGGGAGCGATTGGGTTCGACAGTACGTCGAGTGTGTGGCTCGGGTATGATGGTGTAACTTAGCTATTGCGCATACGCACTCAGTTTTGCTGTGAGATGACAATAGGTCTAACCTGATGCACTAATAATGCACTCGCGCGCGGGTTATACACACACGCGTGCGCTCGCACACATACACGCACGGACGCACGCACGCACGCACGCACGCACACACACACACGCGCGTGCGCGCGCGCACGCACGTACACATACACACACACACGCGCGCGCACGCACACACTCACACGCACACACACGCACACACAAAAACGCACACGCGCATGCCCACACCCACGCCCACGCGCACGCACACGCACACGCACACGCACACGCACACGCACACGCACACGCACACGCACACG